TAACTTAATTAAATTCTACAAGAAACTCAGCTAGTGCTTACTTCCCTTGGCGTATAATATATACCCGCCGCCTAGCCTTCTCCTACTAAGCTAGATCGACGAAAAAGTAGTCTAGATAAGTATAGAAATATACTAGTATAAACTAGCTTAGGTCGTACTAGTTGCGCTCTACCTAGAGAAGGACTCTTCTTACTACTACTCCTTCTAGTTGGGAGAAAATATACTATACTCGCTAGCTAGGGCCCCTAATTAACTCCCTATCTACTATAAGTTTAGTATTAACTTCTATCCTCTATAATAGATAGTCTAATAGTCTTTCTCTACTAAACTTCTCCGCGTTTAGTAAGGCGGGTTTTGGCCGATTAGGGTGTGGTAGTATCTATATTAAGGGGGCCGGTGAGGCTTAGGGGGTAAGATATACTACTAGAGGTATCCCCTACTCCTATACCCTCTCTCTTAGCGTAGCTAGCTATACTATTAAGGTTCTAATCTACTCCGTCTGCCTCTCTATAAGGGTACTCTACTACTCTAGAAAAGCTCCTAACTAACTCGGTGGCTAGTTACTATTCTACTATCTATTTCTATTATTCTCCTAGCCCTAATATTGGCCTTCCGCTATATCTATTACGTTCTAATCTTCTATTCTAATATTCCTATACCAATATTTCTAATATCTTCTGTGTACTCGATATACCCAATATATCTAATATAACTAATATGTCCAATATAACCAATGTGTCCAATATAACCAATATATCCAATATAACCAATGTATCCAATATGACCAATGTGTCCAATATAACCAATATAACTAATATAATAATATATTTTATAATATTAACGGCCGAAGAGAGTTCTATTTAACTAACTAAGGGTATCCGTAAGTCGAAGATAAAATATATAGGGAAGAAGAAGAAAGGGGAAAAGGAAGGAAGTCGGTGATAGAGGATAGAGCTATAGCTTTAGGCGTTAAGGTTATGTGACTGTGTTAAGGGTCACGTACGCGAGAGTAAAAAGGGGGAGTCTGGTAATAGTATCTCCAGACAGGCCTTACTGCCTCGTCGATTACGGAGCGTGCGGTGACCCGAGAAGGGAATAGAGGTCCAACCCCTTACACTATAGAATAATATCTAAGATACTATATTAACTAAGAATAGAATAATTAGGTTAAACTACTACTAATAGTATAGCTCGTTTATAATAGAGCTAAGATAGCCTTAATAGATATAATACCTTTCTTTATAAATTATAGAAGAGAATTAGAAACGATAAAAATATCTAGAAAAGTAAAAACTTATATAAGAGATATAGAAATAATGGTAGAAAAATTACGAAACCTATACGAAACGATAAAGAAGAATCTTAAATTCTTAAGTTATAGAATAAGTAACTACTATAATAAAAAATATATAGAAGTACTAACTTTTAAAAGAGAGGAGAAAGTATTTCTACTATAACGGAATATTAAAACTATAAGACTAAGTAATAAACTAGACTACTAGAGGATAGAACTATTTAAAATTTTAGAATAACTCGGATAAGTTAACTATAAACTCTAACTACCGGACTATATAAAATATACCTAGTATTTTATATCTTATTAATTAAAAAAGTACCCTAGAACGCTAAACTATATAAACTAGAACTTAAATAAGAAAACTAAGAATAAGAATACGAAGTAGAAAGAATTCTAGATAAAAAAAGGATTAGTAGAAAACTTTACTATCTAGTAAAATAGAAAAATTATAATAATTTAGAAAATACTTACGAGCCTATTAAGAACCTCTAGAATATAATATAGGCGATTAAGAAATATTAATAGAATTAGATAAAATAGTAAAAAACTAATCTAGAGATAGACTAGCCGAGGAAGGAGGACTAACTACCTTCTTAGTAGAAGATAATATCTTATTACTATAAAGCTAAAGCTATAGCTTAGTAGTCTAGAACTCGAGTAGATAACGAGACTTATTAATAATAGTATAATAAAGAGAGAAGAGCTTATTCTAGAGATATAGGGCTTAGGAGAAGAGTAATAATAAGGTTAAGCGGCTATCGAAAATACGATACTAGGTAAAGAACTTCTATTCTTTCTAATAAGCCTACTCTAAAGGATTATAAATACGGCCTATATAAGAATAGTTATTATAGATATAAGTAGTATATTAAATAATATAATAACTAAAGGGAGATTTAGATATAATTATATAGGGAGTTATTAAGATAAAATAGTTATTATAAAGAAACTCGAAGACCTACCCTTAATAATTAATAATTTTAGAAAGAACTCGAAGCTTAGAAGTATAATTATAAGGACGTAAGGATTTTCGAATACTAGATTTAGGGGCTATAATAAAAGATAAGAAGAACTTATAGAACCTTTAGAAAAATAATAAGGAGTACGCTTACTACTTATAAGAAAAAGAAGATAACGATTAGAATAATTCGTTAAGAAGGAGAGGGATAATATTATAGACTACCTATAGTATAACTTAGGTAGCTATATTTATTAGATTAATATAGAGTAGATAGAAAACTTAAGATAAGTAGATTATATAATTATACGGAATCTAAGTTACTAAGGCGCTAGAGAATCTAATAATAGATTTAAGGTTCGAATCTAATAATAGATTTAAGAGTCGAATCTAATAATAGACTTAAGGTTTGAGACTAATAATAGATTTACAAGGAAATAAATAATATAGATTTAAATTAATATATATATAAAGATACTCGTTTCCTACTTTAATTAAGAGTTCTTTTAATACTTATAATTAAAGTTAACTTTATAGTAAGTTATAGCTTTATAGTACTAATTAATATAAGTATACTTCCTTTATTTATCTAATATCCCTTAATAAGCCTTATATCTAATTAACTAGAGTACTACTTTAATTATAATAAGGAACTTATATCTATAGAAGTAAGCTAGACTTAGAGCTATTACCTTAAAGTTAGATACTAGAGTGTCTCTATTTAGATATATCTCTAATAATACTTCGACCTAACTATCTATAAAGAGTCCTTGAGTGATTCCCACCCAAGCGTACTTCCAGTTGTACAGGCTGAAGAACCCCCCTTTGTAGCAACCCAGCTCGCCGGGTCGGACCGAGTCTAAAAAAAGCCTAATACCGACTCGACCCGGCCGGGTCGGACCGGGCCGGTCCGGGTAAAAAACCCGGACTCGGCCCCAGTCTAATAGCACGGAAAATACTTACGAGTCTATTAAGAACCTCTAGAATATAATATAGGCGATTAAGAAATATCGATAGAATCAAATAAAATAGCGAAAAACTAATCTAGAGATAGACTAGCCGAGGAAGAAGGACTAATTACCTTCTTAGTAGAGGATAATATCTTATTACTACAAAGCTAAAGCTACAGCTTAGTAGCTTAAAACTCTAATAGACGACGGGAGTTATAGAACTTATTGGCGATAGTATAATAAAGAGAGGAGAGCTTATTCTAGAGATATAGGGCTTAGGAGGAGAGTAATAATAAGGTTAAGCGGCTATTAAAAATATAATACTAGGTAAAGAACTTCTATTCTTTCTAATAAGTCTACTCTAAAGGATTATAAGTATAGCCTATATAAGGATAGTTATTATAGATATAAGTAGTATAATAAATAATATAATAACTAGAGAGAGATTTAAATATAACTATATAGGGAGTTATTAAGATAAAATAATTATTATAAGGAAACTTAGAGATCTACCCTTAATAATTAATAATTTTAGAAAGAACTTAAAGTTTAAAAGTATAATTATAAAAATATAAGGATTTTTAAATACTAGATTTAGAAGCTATAATAAAGGATAAAAAGAACTTATAGAACTCTTAGGAAAATAATAAAGAGTATACTTACTACTTATAAGAAAGAGAAAATAATAATTAAGATAATTTATTAAAAAGGAGAGAAATAATATTATAGACTACCTATAGTATAGCTTAGGTAAATATATTTATTAGACTAATATAGAGTAGATAGAAAACTTAGAATAAGTAAATTATATAATTATATAGAATCTAAGTTACTAAGGTACTAGAGAATCTAATAATAGATTTGAGGTTTAAATCTAATAATAGATTTAAAAGTCGAATCTAATAATAGACTTAAAGTTTAAGACTAACGATAGATTTATAAGGAAATAGATAATATAGATTTAGATTAATATATATATAAAGATACTTATTTTCTATCTTAATTAAAAGTTCTTTTAATACTTATAATTAAAGTTAACTTTATAGTAAGTTATAGCTTTATAGTACTAATTAATATAAATATACTTCCTTTATCTATTTAATATCCCCTTAATAAGCTTTATACCTAATTAACTAGAGTACTACTTTAATTATAATAAGGAATTTATATATATAGGAGTAAGCTAGACTTAGAGCTATTATCTTAAAGTTAAATACTAGAGTATCTCTATTTAGATATATCTCTAATAATACTTCGACCTAACTATCTATAAAGAGCCTTTAAGTGATTCTTATCTAAGCGTACTTCTAGTTATATAGGCTGAAGACCCCCTTTGTAGCATCTTTATACTAAAATAGCTAAATATTAATTACTATCTACTAATCTATTATAGATAAAGATAATAATAAAGAGTTTTCTATTTTAATTATACTATATAGTACTAAAATAGAGGTAAAGTAGGGGTTATAAATTAAACTATATAAGATTATAGAGAGGCTATATAATATTATACGAAGAAGAGGAGAAGAAAAAAAGAAAAATATATAATAAGGTAAATTTAACTATACTAGATATTTAGTAGCTTAGTATAACCCTTATAGTAACGCAGATTATAACCAAACCTTTTTCCCCCCTATATAACTGTTAAATATTGGGTTTGGGTTCACACACAATTTATATCGGACTATTGTTAATCCTCGTAGATCGTCCGGGGTTCGGAGTATTGTTCATCCAGATCGAAGGATAACATGAGGTCCCGTTGCATGCTGTACGTACAATAACGCACGCATACACTATGGCCGTTCGAGCCAGCAACGCGTTTCTACGACCTTACAGCGTCAGAGCATTTATACTGCCCTATAAACAGACTTGGCACTCTATTTCACAGGCGCAAAGACGTATTACAACACGCATGGAACCTAGCAGAGTCCGGTACAAATTTGTGGAAGAAGTTGAGCGCTTGGACTATTATGTTCCTGGAGGTTACCATCCAGTCACAATTGGAGATGAATTTTGTTCAGGTCGATATATTATCGCTCATAAGCTCGGGTTCGGTCGATCTGCCACAACCTGGCTGGCAGAAGATAGAAGACAAAGCCGACTTGTTGCCCTCAAGATATTAACCGCAGAATCGGCTGAGCGAACTCATGAGATACAGGTTCTTTCACAGTTAGCTAGAGCTAAATCCGAGCTCTCTGGGCGGAATACTCCACAGAAAGTGCTTGACTCTTTTACATTCTGTGGGCCAAATGGTACGCATTTGTGTTTAGTCACAGAAGCTGCTAGAATTAGCATCCACGAAGCGAAGGATGCTGCGTATCACCGACTTCTCCATCTCCCTGCCGCTCGAGCTATCGCCTCACAACTTATACTTGGTCTGCAATTTATCCATTCTCAAGGCATCGTTCATGGTGGTATGTTTGGCATACTACAATCTCTCATATAGGGGTATAGATTCCTGGCTAAACGTGGCTATAGATCTCCATCTTGCAAATATTCTCCTTCGCTTGCCGTCAGAGATGCAAGATATGACGATTAAGCAGCTATATGCTAGAACCGGTGAACCGGTGAAAGAGCAAGTTGTTCGTGAGGATGGCGCACCCCTAGATATAGGAGTTCCTTCAGAAGTTATTGTCCCAGCTTGGCTTGGGCTCGGTAGTGATGAGATTTCCCTAGTAGACTCTGCCATTATGATTGCAGATTTTGGAGAAGCCTATAATCCTCGAGTGACGAAGCAGTTTATTGCCCATACACCACTCTTGCTTGCGCCTCCAGAATCACGTTTCGCGGGCTCCACGGAATTCGATGAGCCTCTTTCTTTCTCGGGGGATATATGGACGCTTGGATGCACTATCTGGGATATTTTTGGATCCGCCCCCCCGTTTGAAGCCTTCCCAGCCACGTTAGATGGAGTTACAATCGAACAGGTCGAGATGCTTGGTAAACTTCCTGATCGGTGGTGGAGTAAGTGGGAAGAAAGAAGTAATTGGTTTGACGAAGATGGACGTAAAAATGTGAAAGAATATCTTCGTCAGTGGTACGGTAATAGTACTAGGAACTGGATTCAACGGTTTACGGAATATATACACAACCCAAGAGAGAGGAAGAGGTTTGATACCTTTTCAGCGGAGGAGGAGAATGCGTTCTGTGACATGATAAAGTCGATGTTAGTCCTTGAGCCAAGCAAAAGAGCCACGATTGAAGACATAGTGGGATGTGAGTGGATGCGAAAATGGGGACTGCCAGAGGTGCAGAGAATGCAAGATGCAAAATCTTGATCTCTAAGTTACGCTCTCTATTGATAAAAAAGGAATTGCAATAAATTATCAGGGCTATAACATTAATACGCGATGTGCAAATATACATCTTTATTTGATATCATCTTACCCATGAATTAGGATCACCAGTTGTCTTCCATATTTTCCTCAAATATAGTGTTCCAATTCTCCTGCATTGCTTCTCGCTCGCTGCTGTCATAACCATTAAGGTAATCAAAATTCCCCTCTTTTGCGTACACCTTGTCGAGGTCTCGCTCATGTCTGCCTGTTCAGCTTTAGCCTACTGACAACTATTCACATTGCCACTCAGGGTACATACTTATTTTAACCTGTTCAAGATCTAACTCCTGAACGATGGCGCTTGGCGGAATCGTATGCATGCACAGATATGCACCATTGATGTGCTGCTCTGCCTTCTTAGGCAGTTTCAGTACAAGATTCGTAACCAAGTCCTCCAACTTGAAGAGATATGGTGCACTCAGGAGCTGCGAGAGGCGTGCGGCTCCTTACCCAGCCAAGGCCGTTTTAAACCCCAGTTTTCGGCACGTTCGCGGTGGGGGATGAGCGATCAAGGAGCAAACCGGGGCCGATGGTCTGAGGCGGACAACGAGCTTCTTCTGTCGATGAGGCGCCGGAAAAATACTTGGGAGGTGATTCAGCAGAGGTTCCCAAAGAGGACACTGGCGTCACTGCGGCAAAGGTACTCGACTCTCAACAACCGATCAACACCAGGTAACCAAGGGCGGACAAGAGGTAGGTGATCAAAGTAGAAATTGATATGGTTTTCTGCTGTGTTTATACAATGTACATTCACAAGAGAAATAAAATTTGTGAATAAACAAGATTCTGCCTCTCAATCCTTGTTCTCACTCCAGCATCCGGAGATGACCTTGTTATTTTGTTTGAATCACAAACTTTTAGAATCATAGTCTCCACAGGGTTCCTCTTGCTCAGTCACATCCAATAAGTATACCTAGATGCACAGGCAGTACTCCCAGCCCGTATAATATATGATATCACATACAATTATTGTATGGTCCAGATTTGTGTATCTCTAGGGTCTAGGCTAGCCAATTGATAAGTGCTATATAAGCTCCGCCAGTATTTCAACTTAAAGAAAAAATACTCTAGTATGCACATTTGACCCCTTCTATATATCCACTTTTTGGAATACAATATACTTCGCTTCGCTCCGTGAATAATGAAGGGGAGATAAGGATTTTTAACAGATCCCTTGTTAGTACTAGGTGTGGACGCCTTATCCACTTTGCATCCATCCCTTCTATTGCCGTGAATGGTAAACGTCACAAAAACCGTTTACGGCTTAAGAAGCACGAACACACTGTCCATAGAGCCCCTGCAGTAATTACCAGCACCCATGCGTTGCCAATACTTTGCACTATAGCATCGATGCACTTCGCTCGGAGTTCCGGAGTCGCGTTTTGGAGTACGGTGCTTCGAGCGCCCGCAATGGCGGCTTGGATTTCCTTATCGGTATATTCAGTGCCGGCAAGGAGAGCCTTCAACTTTGAGAATGTGATGTTCTGAAACATGGAGCTCGCAATCGTAAGGCCCAGTAGTTGACTCGCGCCCTGGGATATATTCATGAACTGGATGACTTCAGGGACTCGGCCTGGCTCCACCAGGTGTCGTGAGATCGCATAGCCTGCCTGAGTAGTTGCCATTCCTATGCCTACTAGGCTAGTATATCCATAGATATTTGCAGCTGCTGTGTTCCCACGAACAGTATACATCGCGGCACCACCACATGTCATGAAAATGCCGCTGAGAAGATACCATACTATGTGGTAGCCGGTTCGTCCCATGATAGCACCACAAGTAACAACAGTGACAACATATAAACAGATAAACGGAAGGAGTCTGACAGCTGCTTCAGTACCGCTGTCACCGTGGACGAAGAGGAAGTATAGCGGGATATAGTATATCGAGACGAATAGAGAGGCTCCACCGCAGGACATACATACGAAAAGCAGTACAAGCTGTGGACTGCGGAGGAACTCGCACGGAAACAGGCGATCGTTCTCGTTGGTAAAGACTGCGAGGTACTGACTTAAGGCAAAGGCCGCCGCAAGGAGCGCAGATACCACGATCAAGGCGATGACACGACCGTCACTCCAGGCCCATATTGCTCCTCCAAACGAGAAGGCAACCGCAAAGGTAGTATACATGCCGCTGCTTAGAACCGCTCCAAACCAATCAAGAGATTTCAATTTATCCATAACTGACATTGCTGGCCAGCGGGGGAGAGATGGGAGCAGGAACAAGTAAATGGGTGTCATGGCTCCAAAAATTATTAGGTTTATGTAGAATCCCTTGCAGTAGGCGTCAGTAATGATACTTTTTTGTCTTGTGGGATAATCAAAGTGCGGAATGCAAATAATATCTTACCCATCTCCATGAAGCAGAGCTATCCGCAAAGGCACCCCCAACGACAGGGCCTAAGATACATCCGCTGCCATAAACGAGCCCCGTAATGCCCACATATAAAGGCTGTTGCTTCGGCGTACTCAAGGTAGTGACAAGATTGAGTGTGCTATTTCAATTATTTCACATTAGCCTAAACTTTTACGATCAACTGGGCAGTGTCTTACCCAAGGTACATGCCAGCCCCTCCAGTGCCTGCCCACACTCTACCCACAATCATCGCATTCATGGATGGTGCAGCACCACAAAGAGCACTTGCCGCAGCGAATGAAGCCAGACAGCCTATGAATACCCATTTCGTGTCGAACATGGCATACGCTTTGCCGAGTGGAAGTATCGCAATGGTTGATCCCAAGCAAAATCCAAACCCAAGCCAGCCTAGCTGGTTGACATTATTGAATTCTTCGGAAATCGATGCTTGAATATCGGCCACAATGGTATTGTCGAGGCCGTAAAGTACGTTCGCCGAAAAGATGGCCAGGCACACCAGAAGCCAGCGAATTCCTGTAATAGGTCGCTGTGGTCCAGCATCATTATTGCTGTGGTTGGTCGACTGCCCTTCCTCATTCTTTTCAAAGCTGGTTTCGGACTGCGAGTTTCTGGTAGGTGGAGAATGAGTGGGAGGTTCGTCAGTGTCAACCTGGGTGGCCTGGGCAGATGGTTGGGAAGACCCGGGGGCGATCTCCATTTTTGTATATACAAGCGTATATGGATGATATCCTGATCACTGGAACATGACGAAGGAATAGAGATAAGTATATGATAGGTATAATAGTTGGCTCGGGTATATAATCAACAGAGTCTAGGGGAGCGAGTCACCATGATATATAATCATGGTAACCTAAGAGGGAAATGCAAAGCATACCTCCTTTCGGAGGTAACTAGGGGAATGCCGATCAACTGAAAGGAAAAAACTAGTTAGGGTATTCAAGGGCTAAGCAATGCTTCTTCCTTCCTGCAAGGACATGCCTTGACGAGAAGGTTGGTTGGTAAGCAAAAGAGATTAGATGACACGATTTACTTGCTGGAGTGCCGAGCTGTTGAAACGCCTTAAAGCCCACTCAGCCTGCTAGCCGGAAGGAGACACGGAGTTGGGCTCCGCAACCTCCTTTCAGCGCGACACCCATCGGCCGTTTGTGACATAATCAGTACTCTGTAGTCCGTAGATAGCATATTTTAAGTCTATTGGTGGGACTTTGGATCAAAAACTGGCTCATCGAAGCCGGAATGAAAGTACCTTGGAAGGTTTGATGTCCAGCGAAAAAGAACAAGGTTTGTGCTAATGACGGATAATCTAAATATAAGATAACTCTGGTCAAGATAAGATAAGATTTCGGATCTATGCGGCCGGAAGATAGTTCTTCCGTTATCTCACATCTTAAAACGAACCTGATGATCTCGATGCTTCATTCGATAGCTACCATGGTCTGATGAGAAAGGTTCCAGGATTCCTCTGCAAATCTTGACTAGGCATCTATCTGACCTAGGCTCCTTGGAAATGTTCCGAACTCCTCCAGACATTGGGCCTTTTTGTCTCGGTACTCCGCTTGTCTAGTAGGCAACCCCTTTGACTTCCTTTCCGGCAACCATCGTTGCAACCATCGAGCCAGGAACTTCGCCACAAGGCCATCTTCAATTATCCTTGGAGGATTCTTTAGGACTGTTGTGTCTCTTTGCACCGCATGTGTCTCAATGTCTAATCCCCCACCTTTCAATCCTTTGTCAACGCTGTGCTCTCTCTCGAAGTATTCAATCAGAGTTACCGCCGGATTGACTGCCTCATCCTCCTGCTCTGCGCTCTCTCGCAGTTTCACAAGCCAGTCGTTGGTGGGGATGGCGTTAAACAGAAACGAACTATCCAGCAGTTCTTGGAGTAGCTGGTGCCAGTGAAATGTATGCGGGTTAACTATGTTATAATAGATGGAAGAAGAGCTTTCGCGAGGGCTCCCATAGACCGGAGATTGCTCAGCAAGCTTCCAAGAGAGTTCGAAGATAATGGTTGCGAGAATGTCAACTGGAATCCAGGAACAGCGCTGCGCAAACGTCAGCTATGGACTTGAACCTGCTAGAGATAAGTGGTGAATCGGGGAAAGGGGAAGTATTTACCTCCTGCAAATCGGGCAAGGCCTCTAATGTGAAAGCTGACTTGATAATCATTGGTATAAATTCTTTATCATTCCACAGCCCATTATCGGTATCACCAACCACCTGTCCGATGCGCAAAACGTAGCTTAAGGCGCCTGCATCATATGCGTTCTGGACAATGTGCTCGCCAACAAGTTTGGATTGGCTATATCCCATGCTAGCTGCATGCCCAAGCTCCTCAATCGGTCCATCCCGAATGGAAGCTGGAGCGGGCGTATTGAATGCGGTTGAAATGGAAGAGCAGAAAAATAACTGGGCAGGTCGTGACCCTTCCACCGACAGGGAAAACTGGAGCAGATTGTAAAGCCCTGCAATGTGCGGCTCGAAGCTCCGCAGATGAATGTTGAAGTTAACGGGCCATGCAATATGGATTATTAACGAAACATCCTTCTTCATTTGGGCCAAGGTTGATGCGTCCAGCCCAAAACCTGGTTTGTTAAGATCTGCTGTGAAGGCACTGACCTTGCGTTGGTTCGCAATTGAAATATCTATACTTCGATTCTTTAAAGAGCTAAGTATTCTTTGCATGGGATTGGCCCCCCTTGCAAGGCAGTAGATCTTCTCGATCCTGTCATCGGCAACAAACCGTGCAAGGACGTGAGCTCCAATCGAACCAGTTGCTCCTGTGAGGACCTATGTTCATGTTAAATGGCTTCTTGCATTGTTCATTTATGGAGGCCTACACACCACTGCTTGACCCATGGTCTTGGATATGTTGCCGTTGGTAACATGATGTAGAGAATTCTGCTTCTGGAAGCCCGAATATCTATCAATCAATTGCTGCATCAATTGCAGCCCATCTACCTCGGGGACGTTTCCCCCGTGCCCCAAAGCATGGAGATAGCGAGCCAGCTCCCTCACGTTTCCCTTTTCGTACACGATGTTGGGATTCAATCGTGTTCCATTTAGTTCGATTGTCTTTTGAATAATGCGCCTCATTTGAATGGCTTTTAAGCTGTCTACCCCAACGCTGAAAAAGTCAGTTTCTGGTGTCTCGAGTGCAACCCCAATCGTATCCCTACACGTCTGCATCAGGAATTGCTCGATTGACGGAAGGTCCAGCTTGAGGCTTCCCTCCTGGCCTCCCTCGAGCCTCGTGTACATTGCTTCGATAATATCTGCAAACTTGTCATACACCTGGGCGCGGATGACACTTCCCTTATCTGTCTGCGGGTAATTGACATTTGATGGTATTAGGGTTATCATATCCTTGGTGACCTGGGAGAATTCCTCTGAGCGTGAATTTGCATCCGCAACCGAGGGCCAAATGGCTTCTAGATAGGTTTCGTCAGACATATGATCGGCTTCCTTTGAACGGAAAACGAGAAGCCCCGGTATCGCTTGATCGACGCCGACCACAGTTGCTTCCCTCACCAGTTCGTCTTCTCGTATGCGACCCTCAATCGGCAACGGGAGTACCTTCTCCCCATTTGCAAGAGTAACACGATCATCGATACGGGTGACAAATTTCCAGACGTCAGGGATTGTTGCATGCGGAGTGAAGACGTCTCTGGAGTGCCATGAACCTGGTGCTGGAACATCCGAATTGGAAGTGGATAATCCCGGGTGCCCTTCCAGGTAAACGAATTCATATAAATTGTCTCCAAGTGAGTGCATGTGGAGATGTTTCCGGATATTGGCGTATATTCGGATATAGTTCCATGTGTCGTCTCCTTCCTCCCTACGCATGGTGTCACCACACAAACCGGCCTCGGTGCTGCCTTACGATTAGCATTTGTTGAATCCTGACACCGCAGAGAGAAACTCACGTTCCAAAGACGACGCCTAAATTGATCCCTTCCTTTACTAAACGATCTCCCAACTCGTCCGGGGTCTTCGCTCCCGCAGAAGTCACGACTTTGCAAGCTTTCAGCGCCTCAACACCGCGGCTTTTTTCAGCCAGGAGCCCCAGTACGTAGGGTACCGTGTGCACTGCTTCCGGCTTCGTGGCTTCGATCACTGTAACTAGATTGTCTCCTGTCAAAGGCAGTGAGGCGTTGTAGAGGTGTGCTGTCTTGCGCATCCACATGGCTTGAAAAGCCGTCGATAAACCATACATATGGTACCATGGCAGGGCGTTGAAGTTATGCAAGCCAGAGCCCTGAGGAGGGTGCTGCAGAACTGCTTTATGAGTTAGGAAGACCGGCTTTGGCAGCCCAGTCGATCCTGAAGAATGCATTATCAACGCAACTCTCTCACACTCCTTCTCCCTGTCGTACTCACGAACGAACGGGGGTTCATGACAGCGTAATCTGTCATAGCTACAGCGAATGGGTATCTCAAGTGCTTTAAGGGGGAAATTTTCATGGACTTTATGCACTTTAGATTCGATTTGCTTCGACCTCCCATGCACCATTGTATCGCACTCGGTTTTCCGAAGAAGGTTAATGATTGCAATCGGGGGGATTCGGAGAGACAAGCAGAGTACAGTGCATCCTATTCTGCTGAGCGCGAAAAAACTGACTACAAAGTCAACGTTTGACGGCGCTAGGAGTGCCACCGGTCTCTGCTGATTCTGGCACAGCGTTAGCATGGAAAACACGGAGCATCAAGAATGACGAAGCATAGTATTTACCGGCTTAATCCCGGCTAGGATGAACTCTTTCGCTGCAGCATCAACAAACAGATCCAGCTGCTTGCCGGTGAATCTCTCATAATCATCGACACTGTGCTCAAATTTGGGGTAACCGAGTATGGGCACTTGGGATTCATCGGCCGCTCGATGACGGATGATATCATCTAGAACCTTCAGTTCACCAAAGGTGCGGTATAGATGTTGAACGTGTTCCTGAGATAAGTGTGCCATGACGATGATAATGATCTTAACAGCTCCAAATAAATGATGGCAGAGAACCTCTGGCATCCGCAAACCAGGCTTATCGCAGTTTTAGCTACGAGGAATATATCTTGTCATTTTTATTTTCAACGGACAGGCTGACAACATTGAGGACTATCAGGGTTCCCACTAAAGCAGAAAATTGCGACCGCTATCCCTGCGTTGAACTCCTTTTGTCAAGGAGTTTATATTTGGCTCGGAATGGTTAACCAAGTAACTAAGCAATGCAATTGTTCAATTCTCCGATTCCAGATAGGTAAGGATGATTATGGATGCAAGGCAGGAACTCCACCCTGCAGGAATATCACGGATACATCATGCAGGACCGCCGGTCAGCTTGACCATATGCGTTATGGAGATGGAGTGAAGGGAGATGATTCCGGAGTAATTGTCGAGGGGGGACTGCGGATAAGCTGCCCTGCAAGATGCAAGGAAGCGTAGCAGCCTTGAGATCTACCTCCTCGGGAAGGGCTGCGAAAGATACACATTCATCCCTTCATATGAGCCATTCTTACCGATTAGGCCATCCATATCCATGAGCGACTTTCTAGACCGCTGCTATTAGGTTCTGCAAGTAGCCCATTTTTTTTAGAGTTATTTGGGCGCTGGTTGCTATGAGACAGAACTATTCATAGCTGCAACAAGAAAGGCGCAGTAAACGTGCCCCAGAAAGACCGTTGATATCAACATTCAGATTTCCTTAAAAATGGAAATGCAACCAATGCTTGCGAGCTAACTAAGCGTCTAGATCCCAATCTTCACTTCTTAAGGGGTGGCGTGTCAACGACAAGAAACTGCATGAGCGCTTCTGCGTACCTCGTGCCATGTACTTCGGCGTGCTCAATGGCGTCCCTTATCTCCTTATTTTCATCTGGCGTTAGGCTGACCTTGTAGGCACCAAGGTTTTCCTCTAGATACTCAATTCTCTTAGTCCCTGGAATAGGAAAGATATCAACTCCTTGCTCCATCATCCAAGCCAGCGTAAGCTGACCCGATGTGCAATTTTTTCTATCTGAGATGGCTTTCAGCGTGTCTACCAGCTGAAGGTTCTTTGAAAAGTTTTCCCTTGAGAATCGTGGCACCGTCCTGCGGAAGTCATTCTTATCAAAATCGTCAATTGATTTGTATATCCCTGTCAGCATTCCCCGGCCAAGCGGTGAGTACGCAACCGTGGCAATCCCCAGTTCGCGGCACGTCTGGAGTAGGCCTGGCTCGGCCCTTTCGATATCCATTGAGAAAGGGCTGTACTCAATCTGGTAGGCGTGGATCTGGTGGATCTTGTTTGCTCGCCGCAGCGTGTCTGGTCCACATTCGCTGAACCCTAGATACTTGACCTTACCCGAGCTTTGCAATACCTTAGTTAGTACAGCTGATCCTGGAGTGCGTCGTGCCATGCAAGTACATACTCCACGAATTCTTTCATTGTTGCAACTATATCTTCGGCCGGTGTTTTGCCGCTGATTCGGTGGCTAAAAGTACGGGTTAACGCTGCTTCATGGGCTTCTTCGCATGCCACACTGGGTAGGACGAACCAATACAACAGATCTATGTAATCAGTCTGAAGGCGTTGTAGACTCTCCGCAACAGCCATGCGGATATAGTCTGCGTCGTTCCTAATTTCTCGACTCCCCTCGGGTGTGACATGGTTTCCGAACTTGGTGGCCAGGAATATCTAGAGGGCGACATACGTAAATAATTAATCAACCACATAGAAGTCGACCTAGACTTTACCTCTTTGCGCTTCCCCGTTCTTCTAAACCATTTCCCAAGCAGCTCCTCGCTGTCACCATAGAGCTGTGCGGAGTCCCAATGGGTACACCCAAGCTCATAAGCTCGATCAAGGAGCTTGAATCGCTCTTCATCGGGCGGAGGCACTCCATAGAATGCTTTTATAGGCAGCGTGAGCGGTGCTAGCTAAATAAACGACCATTGCCAGGCAAGAAAACGTACAGCTTAGACCCATCAAGCCAAACCCTAGGGCCGGAACCTGAGGTCCATCCTTGCCCAGCGCGCGAGTTGGGAGTTTTGTGGGCATTTCTATTCGAATGGTGAGATGTATACCCCGAGACAGATTGGATTGATTCTGTTGTAAAAGATTGTGGTGTGAGGGGATAATAGGGAGGTCAAAACAATGATCTATATAACTGCTGAAAGGGCTGGGCAGGAGACTGCGGAGTTGATCTCCAGATACTCCGGAGGCATCAGTTCCACCCGGAGCTTGGAGCGGTTAGCCAGATATGTACCCTGCATGGCCTAGCAGGGGTGTAGGCGGCCATGCAGTCCACCTTTATAGCTTACATGCAATGATCCCGTTTATTATTGAGCTTTATACTTGCCCACTAGTGTCCCCTGCCGGACTGTGGATAGTATCAACTTCACAAAGACCAGCACCTGGTGAAGTGAATATTTTATATAGGCAACTAGAGTGTGATATCATAAGGAAAGGGGCCATGTCCGAGCGCGCAGCTGCTTGAATCTTTCAGCTTGAGGCTATGGAATAAGTAGACCCTATCCCTGAGTAACAAAAAAGGACCATCCAAAGAATTACGCACTCTGGTTGCTTAATAGCAAAGGTTGGATTAAGCAAGCTGAAATCAGCAATGGAAATTGCAATATATGTCGAGAATACAGGCTACCCTATGATTCTAATTCTAAAAGCTCCCCCTTGCGCCCTTGGCGAATGCATGTCAGGCAAGGCGTATGGTTCAATTCAATGGAAGAACGCTTTGCTTCCACTTGATCAGGGTAATGCCGTCGTACAGAGGCAATAAGACCGTATCAATTCGAGGATCAGTTTTGCAGAACTTGTTCATCTTGTGCAAAGCCTTTCCGCACTCCGTCCAGTAAGGCCTGACCTTCTCGGGCAGAGTAGGGTTAGACTCCGTGGAGATGGTCATGCCACGGGCAAAGACTATGCTTGAGGTTAGATAGATGAGATGTCAAGTTTGATAGAGGACACCACTGACCATTATCGCACATGATAAACCCGGTGGGAGCCAACAGTTTCTTGTCGAGGATTTGTTTGATATACGTCTCGTAACCGTCCTTGTTGGCGTCGACGAAAATGATGTCAAAGATACCGGACAACGTTTCGATCGATTGTTGAGCTGGACCCTCAATAAGCTTGACTCTATCGTTGAGGCCGTACTGGTTGAAAGTACGGCGAGAGGCAGCAATCATCTTGGGGTCAAGCTCGAGGGTGATGATCTCAGCTTGGGTGGAGGCGGTTGCCTCATACCAAGCCAAGGCGCTGTAGCCAGTGTAGCAGCCAATCTCGAGAACTACCAACTTGTTAGAATCATATACGAGTGCAAGGGGTAAAGGCCCGACGTACTTCTCTTAGCCCGCTGGTGCTCAGCTAGGAATTTCATGGTAGCTCCCTGGAGAGGAGAGGACATTTTGTCTGCATCCTCGAAGTTATTGCAGGTCCAGTCCCAGACTTCCTTCATGTTCCCAGACACGTCGTTTGAGTGATTGGTGCAGTATTCCGTGACCGTTGCGGCCATCTCGGGCTAGAATCCACAGAGAATCTTCAGTTGGTCGCTGTTTTACAGCGAAATGGGGAACTTTGATCATACCGTGAAGGACAAAACGCTGGTCAGCATATTTGCGGCTGGTTTGCTAGTCAACGGCAATAAGTGGGCTCAGGTTGATATTCAAAACTTGATCAATACTCCTGTGAGCAGCTGGTGAGATGCTTTTTGAGGTATCAATCAATTGAGCAGGAGAGCCATTCTTATACCCTCTGGTGTCCTAGCCAAGGTCCAGCCTCTTCCCTCGCAAAGGCATCGTCAGATACGATTCGGTCAAGGCCGTGAGGGGCTCTCATCTCAAATCAGTATCTTCAATCCTTCCGGACTCTCCATCGTTGATACGCATTACTGCTTCGGAGTTGATTCCGTCTGTAGCTGCAACGAGAGACCAATTCCGGCCAGCCTCGTAAAAGTGCCTGTTCCAAGTTAGGGTATAGCTTCGCATCGTCAATCGTCTGCTTGTTTTTGTCCGGAGCTCTGCCCAGTAGGTGTTCTGTAGTTATCGCACGGAGTATCTTCTGCTTGATTACATGCAATATATCGAAGTAATTCAAAGCCAAGGCCTGCTAGGAACCAAGCTGTCCAGTCTATGGAGCCGGAAAAATTGTTCAAGTGTTATTTTTTATCTTATACCGCGTATACCACCATCCATGGAAACATACACGGGCGAGTCGTAGTCAGATGGATGACTAATCCACCAGATCTCGAGCCAAGTTAACTACCCCGTGACCGGAGATTTCATCTTCTCATCATCAAAATATCAACCTCCACGTCCGTTAGGCCTCAATTGCTCATCGTCATCATTCCGTTACTTACATGGTCTAATCTGACATTCAGTCACTTCTGCTGTGCCTGTCGGCTCATCACCGCCGAGACCTGTCAAACACCAACCTCTGGCTGCGAATCCAAAAATGGAAACCCGTGAAGGGTGGTCATAACCACTCCGGACGGATGTAAGCACTACCTCTAGTGCCAGGCCCAACAAGGCTATGCTGAGATGGTGCCCCAGAGCAACAGGGCACCATCGAATCTCCGTTTCCGAATTAGTCCCCGGACGGGCAGCAAAGTGTACACCTTACGCATCTACGTAATTACTCAGGCATGAGTTCCGGACCAAACGACAAAAGCCCCTTTTGGTTCTAAATCTAGGAATCTCTCAAGATGGACGACCAAGCTGTTCAGGGCCAACCCCTGCAAGGCTATATTCCGAGCCATATGCACCGTTGGAAGACTCATTTCCCATATAATACTATACTCGGCCTATACTGTCTTTCTTTCCAGGAGCTCCGTCGGCTTGAACTGACCGTTGATTTGAGCTTCCGTTGGGCTTCCAGCTTTTACCTCTTTCTTTTGCGTTCCTCCTGCTTGTAACAGACCATGTCACAATCACCGCTGCCCCGTCTAGATGTTCCATCTATCTTCCAGTCATCATCTTCCGTGCCAAATCGCCTGGTGCATCTAATCCCAGAAGAGCTCGCAAGAACTGTACCGGATTACCCCTTATTTTCATACCCCAGAGGCCCGAAGCTGCAAGATGGGTTTAGGGATGTTTCGAGTAAATGCTTCGCCAATGGAATTAACAGAACCAGCTGGTATTTGATATCATTGTTAGGCCGACCTAAAAATTTTGACACTGTGTGTTACATGGGACCTAGTGAGGCTACCTTTCTAGAGCTCTGTATCATATTTTACTTCTAACGAGTATTTAGATGATATACGATACTTTCTCTTTATGTTCGGAGCGATCAAAGCAGGATATAAGGTAGGTCTCTTACTCTATATTAAAGAAAAAAACCTAACTATTTCTAGATGCTGTTTCTATCGCCTCGAAACAACCTCGAAGGACACTTGAATGTTCTCGAGGGCGTTGACTGCCAGGTCTTCTTGAAAGCTGAGGGCACCCGAGTTGATCATATCCTTCATAAAAGGCCTATGCAAACTTCAGTTGTTCCAGAGCTTGAGGAACTTTTGCATGAATCACCTGTTGAGATATATCCATACGCCAAGAGCTTCGAGGAGGCTCGCATGGATCCATGCCTCGTGCTTCACACCACTGGGTCGACCGGCCTGCCGAAACCTATCACATGGAAATTGGGAATCCTGAGTACATACGAGGCATGGAGGACAATTCCGCCCGTGGATGGCTATGTGCCTCCCACGGAGATCTATCAGCAAGCTCGGAGAGCATATACGTCAATGCCTTTATTCCACACTAGCGGACTAAACGCAGGCATCACTTGGGCCTTGTTGTTAGGCGTGACGTTGGTATATGGTGCGCCACACGTGGTACCAAATGCGGCGTACACGGATGACATGCACAAATTCGCGGGAGTTGATGCATCGATGGGAGCGCCGTCTATATACGAGGATCTCAGCCGCAATCCAACCTCGCTTGAGCGCATTAACAAACTTCACTACGTTATCGCTAGTGGCGGTATGTGATCGATACCCCATTTCCCTGAGACTCTTCTGACACTTTGTAGCTCCTCTATCGCGGAAGGCCGGCGAACTGATATCAAAGCATACACGAGTGATATCCAATTTAGGAGCCACAGAGACGGCGTGTTTGCAGAGATTGGCTCCTGCTATTGATGACTGGGCATACTTCTACTGGCACCCTACGCACTCTGGCATCGAGATGCGAGAGGCCGTAGAAGGCCTATACGAACTTTTCTTGGTTCGAGATCCAAAGCTTGAGTTGTACCAGGGTGTCTTCAATACTTTTCCAGAGCTTCCTGAATGGTCAATGAACGACTTGTATTCAAGGCATCCTGACCCTGCGAAAGGCTTCCTATACAGATACGAAGGAAGAAAGGATGATATTATCGTGCTAAGTAATGGTGAAAAGGTTTCCCCGGCGCTGATGGAAGCAACTCTAATGAGCGACCCTCTCGTGAAAGGCGCGATGGTCGTTGGAAAAGGCAAATTCCAGCCGGCAGCTCTAATTGATTTGGCACAACCACCTCCAGAGGATTCTAGCCAGCGCCGTCAATTGGTCGAAGACCTTTTACCAGCCATTTCTGATGCTAATGAACATGCACCTGGCCATGGCAAGTTGGACCAATATCATATACTTTTTGCGAATCCGAACAAGCCGATCCAGTATCTTGGTCAAGGCAAAATCCAAAGACATCGAACTTACAAGTTATACGAAGACGAAATCGAGGCATTATATAAAGCTGCAGACAATGCCAACGGGCAATTCGGACTTTGCAACCTTCCAAGCCCAAGCTTTACCAGTAAGCAAAGTGTCACTCGATGGCTTCGGCAGTTAGTCATTGAGATAACCAGCATTAAAGATCTCGATCTGGATCAGGATTTCTTTAAAGCTGGAATGGACTCGCTACAAGTGATAAGGATGGCTCGGGAGCTCAAGTTTCAAGCTAAAGAGGCCAACTTACGACAGCATGATGGGGAAGAATTCTCTCCAGCAGCAATATACTCACGCCCGACGCTGAATCAACTTTCTGCGTTTATCCTTCGTCAGGCTGGAGTAAAACCGTCAACCAATGGCCTTGTCAATGGCGACGCTGATAGCCATACCAACGGGCATTTCAAGGCCGATATTGATAGCCACATCAACGGGCATATCAATGGCCATGTTAAGGGTAAAATCGATGGGTACATTTTGGGTGGGATCAGTGGTTACATCAAAGGCCATTTCGATGGCCATATTGATGGCCGAGTGACAGGGCACATCGTAGGTCATGTTGACATGCGCTACGAAAGCCACAATCACACCCTGAAGAACGGCCATTCGAAGCATCGCAGCAACGGCGACGTTAATGGGTTCTCTTCGCTAAGTGCCAATCATTACGTTAACGGCATACTAGGAAGCTCCACATCGCAGAATATGCAAGTTCTTCTTCACAAGTATACCAAGGACCTCCCTCACCCAACCGAAGACGCTCCACTGGCGGCCCAGGAAAATATGGTTATACTTCTCACAGGCAGCACGGGCTCGTTGGGGTCATACTTGCTGGACACTCTGTACAATGACAAGAGTGTTTCGCATATCATTTGCTTAAACCGCACCTCAGATGCTGGGAAGAAGCACCTCCAGACGGGTCTTACCCGGGGGTTGAGCGCTCTCTATGGTGACCGAGTGGAGTTCTTTAAAGCAGATTTAGCGAACACTCAACTAGGGCTGCCCACTTCTATATATAACCGCCTGCTGAAGACTGTCACGCATGTTATCCGTAAGTCACAACACCCTCATCCTTGATGTACATGCCGCTAAATATCCCCTAGATACACAGTGGCCCGTGAATTTCAACTGGCCCCTCGCCTCCTTTGAGCCATATATTTGTGGAGTGCGAAACCTTATAGATTTCTCCTTCACTTCCAAGCACAAAAGCTTTATCTTATTCGTTTCCAGTGTTTCTGCCGTCGGATCATGGGAAGATGTCGATAGCGTACCAGAAGAGCCAGTCTATAATCTTAATATGGCAAGCACCATGGGTTATGGCCAGTCAAAGCTGATCTCCGAATGTGTCCTTGACAGAGCAGCCCGTGTCTCAGGTGTGCGATCTGCATGCTGCAGAATTGGCATTATCGCTGGGCCCGTGGAAAGGAAACTGGGCATGTGGAATAAGCATGAATATATCCCATCAGTAGGTGGTTTCTTTTCTGTTCATTAATCCGGCTATAGGACCCGAACAGTATTAAGGAAACTTCATTAACTAATCGTGTTTGAAGATTGTCATCTCCTCTGCCCACCTGAAAACATTTCCCGGAATGTTCCCATCTCGAGATCGCGTTGACTGGTTGCCAGTAGACAAGCTAGCGACTATTCTTGTCGAGATGCTTACATTCTCCTGCGCTTCACAGCAAGAGAGCAGCCAGAGCCGCATGTTGACTTATAATGTGATCAATCCGCACGTGGTACCATGGTCTAAATTCGCATCCTGGGCTATATCTTTGTACTCTAAGGAAACAAAGATGAGGACTTGTTCGTTTCCTGAATGGACTGAGGCATTAGGCCAAACCTCAAATGAGCCAGTTGACCCAGAAAGGAACCCGGCAATCAAGTTGTTGGATTTTTACCGAGAGGCTGGAGGGTTGAAGAAACGACCACGAATGCTGGCTTGCGATAAAGCCGCGAGAGCGAGCAAAACGCTGCGAGAGGTCGGGGCAGTGAATGAAACTTGGGTCAGAACTTGGATGCAGCAGTGGGGTTTCAAACAGAACTAGAACATTTTCCACCCAGCTGATAGACATAAGAATTTGTTATTAGAGTTTGTTAAGATAGAGGTATGAATGCTGCCAACATTGCCTATACCATTGTTATGCCAGATTCTTTGCGCTTCCACGCCATAGTTGGTTATTATTTCTTTGTCTACGAAAATGATATCCCAGTTACTTTTCGCCTTAGGTCCGGAAACCGGGGATAAGCACCGGCGTTAGCAGCGTGCATCATGCATACCAGAACTCCGGCTCCAAATGCAGCACTCCGGAACTCCTTAGAGATATAGCAAGTAATCGCGCAGACAAGATACGTTTGACTCGCATTTACCGTGGCCACAATGAAAGGGAAGCCTATATATATATCGGGTGTTCCCAGCCCCCTCGACATCTTTATCCACAGCCCATTGAATCACCTACACTTCAACCTCTGGAGCAAGTACCATACAAGATGACGACTTTTCGACAGGCAGCGTTTAAAGAAGCGGGTGGTCCGCTGGTGATTGAAGAGGTGGAGATGACCTCGCCAGGAAGAGGAGAGGTTCTCGTTAAAGTCCAGGCATGCGGAGTGTGTTTTTCAGACACGTTTGCCCAGCATAATGTCATGGGGGGAGGATTGTGAGTTTCAAGCACCACCTTTTATTATTCTCTTTCCTTCTTGGACCTTCAAGATATACCGTGCAGGTACGGGGTAGCAGCAGAGCTGATTGCTTCTAGCCCAATTGTTCCCGGCCATGAAATTATTGGACATGTTACCGCTGTTGGTGAAGGGGTGGAACAATGGAAAATAGGCGATCGAATTGGTGGAGCATGGCATGGTGGCCATGATGGTATGTTCCTGGCCTTTGATTATGGAGATACTGAGTTTTGCTGACACGTTAACGCTTGTGGACAGGGACATGTGCACAATGCCGAAAGGGCTACTTTCAAATGTGTGATAACCAGGTGGTTAATGGCGAAACCAAGGGAGGAGGATGTATGTGGCATTTTCTCGCCTTTGGCCCCTAATACGATACCCACGTTACCAGGGACCCCTAGGTTTTGTGGATTTCGGACGACTTATATCCTTGCTGACACCAATGTAGATGCCGAGTATTGTACACTTCGCGCCGAGGCTGGCGTCCGGATCCCCAAGCACGTCGATGCCGCAAAGTATGCGCCAATCCTCTGCGCCGGCATGACTATGTTCAACTCCATCCGTCACATGAACATTCCTGTTGGCTCAACAGTTGCAATTCAGGGCCTTGGAGGCCTTGGGCACTTAGCAATCCAATATGCGAGAAGCTTTGGATACCGCGTGGTTGCCTTATCACGAAATGCTGAGAAAGAAGCATTTGCCAGAGAGCTTGGTGCGCATGAGTATATTGATGTCAGCAAGTGCGATGTGGGAGAACAACTGCAGAAGCTGGGAGGGGTATCATTGATTGTTTCGACAGCGCCAACCAAGGATGCAATTGAGCCACTTCTCAAGGGGCTAGGGATGCTTGGGAAATTGTTGATATTGTCAGGTAAGCGCATGCGTCTGCGTGCTGAGATATGATTTCCGGCGAAGTGTTCTGACGTTCTAAATACTATTAGTTCCCGGCGATATAACTGTAAACACTGGAGTCATGGTAAGCCAAAAAATGTTTTCTGTATATGGCCTGGGCTTGGACTAATAAGTTCTATCAGCTTCGCTATGGTATCTCGGTTCAATCTTGGCCTTGTGGCCATGCCACCGATTCTGAGGAGGCAATAGCCTTCACTGAACTCGAGGGCATTAACTGCATGATTGAGAAATTCCCCTTGGAAAAAGCCAATGATGCCTTGGGTGAGTTTTTTATCTCTCTCGACAGACCCGTGTATCTCCTCTGAGCCTTTGACTAACCGATTTTTGCAGAGGCGATGGTAAAGGGTACCGTGCGATTCAGGGCAGTTATCACCATGGAATAGTCTCCTATCTCAGTCTCAACAGCGGAAGCGCCTGGATTAGAGTTAGTATGCCTTAGCCGGGTGTAAGGTTAACTTGATGTAGAGGACTCAAAATAATTCATCATATTGCACTAGGTGTAGCACTGCTTAGAAAATTCGTCAAATGCATCCATCATAGGCAGGAAACGGTGAAGAAATAAGATCTACAAACACGTATTTTCATCCCCAAGTCTATCTACAGCACCTAGTTGTGAATCCAACATTCTCCAGTTGTTACTATTCAGAAAAAAGAAAATAACCAGAGAGTAAAAAACGTCTGGGGGAATGCCCTATCGACTCCGGATTGCCCCTTATCATAAAACGCTTAGTCTTGGGTAAACGTCCATGTATTAGAGTTAGGCAGATTACTCCCAGATAGCGGCTCGAAGCCATTGAATGAATTAACAGTAAAAGGAACGCCGATGGCTCCATCTAGTGCTGTCTGTACCAAAGAGGCTTCATCGTCAAACTGAGAGCCAGCAGTTCCTAGGTTGTTTGCATCAGCATTGTCAAAATTATGAGCGCCAAACGGCTGCGTAATAGTACCCAAATTTCCGGTGGATAGAAAGGTGACCGAGCCTGGCGGGCTTCGGAGGCGATCAATAAGAAAGTCGGCTTTAGTTGTAAGATCGCGTGTCACGTTTGCTGCGTTGGCGGCGACGGCGAAATGGTTCCCGAATGTTTCGAAAACAACGCTGGCATGGTTGATTGCCTTACGGGCTGAGGGCGTGGAGGGACTGATGGGGTAAGCTAGGATAAATCCAATCATGGAGAGAGTCGCATTCCATTGCCACTGAAAGGATTCGTGCCAGCCGTTCAAAATATCCGTCTCAGTAAGCATCTGGTGCATGATATGGGTGAGTGCAATCGCATGGTTGACGCATGAGACTGCGTTGGCATCAGCAACTGGGGTACAGGAGTCCATTGTTTGGGAGAAGCAGATAAAGGGCCGGTAAGAGTTCATGGCGAGGTTGTGGTATAAGAGTTCAAGCAACAATCGCTGCCGTTGAAGCCATAACGGAGCAAATAATTCCACGTCCAGGGGCGATCTATCAGTGGAGAAGGGGTTTCCAGAACCTTTCCTTCGTGTCTTCAGTGTATCCGGGACATTATCTACCCAGGTCTGAAGTGATTTCATACTGGCCAGGAGGAATTCAGCACATGTCTCGAGGGACTGAGGCTCACTGTATAGGCTCTTTCCACCATTTACGCTGAGAATATCAGCGCACTTGTCGTAAAAAGCGATGTAGATAGCACGAGCCGTCAGGACGAGCTTGGTATTCTGCACGTTGTACGTTAGCCAGGTGATGTTATCCGCGAAGGAGGCAAAGTTGAAGCCGGAGAGCAGGGCCAGCTTGTGGTCATCAGCGGGTAAGCTGCAGGTTATCTCCGACATTTGGACAGACCACGGCCTCCCAAGCTTCATGCATATCTTACTTTCGAGGGTATACAACGACCACCACAGGCGTTTTCGCAGCTCTCTCTGAGTCTGAGGCAGGTCATCTGGAGGCTCAAGGTGAAGGCCTAAGATGTGAGCAGTCCGGACCGCAAAGGCTAAAGTGCTGTGAGCCATGTTTTGGAAGGACGCGTTGCAGAGATATATGACAGAGAAAATGTGACACTGCAAAGTTGTGATTGACGGGCTTTCCAGCTCCGACGTCAGCAGGGACTGGCATCTACGATAGAACGACCGTCCAGCGATTGTTGCATCGTTACTGTTGACATCCGTCCTCAGCGCAGGATCCACGCCGCTCCGGGGTATGAATGCAATTCCATACTGCATGCATATGGCAAGAACTATATCTACAAGAGCGGACGCCTTGCGAGACGCTCCCGGGGTAGCCCACAGAGATTTGTAATGCTGCCTAAACTCCGCTTCGTCTATAATCTGGAGGCTGCAATGGTACGACTGCCAAAACAGATTCAGGAAGTAGTCTTCCTGCCTTGCGGTTAGATAGTCCCCGCCGGTTGGAGTTTCTGCTGCCAGCTGCTGCTGGCCTCCTTCGAGATTTAACGTCCCATTCCCGCCCTCTTTTCCAGGGCTCGTGGGGCTAGCAAATGCCTTGCTCGCTGAATTGGGCTGCATATGGTCGTCAGACTGCGGCTGCTGGAGGGCGGCCGCCAGGTACGAGCTCATGCGGCCGATGAAGTAGAAGGAAGATGCCGGTCCGTAACACTGCGTTTGGGGCGCCTGTGCTGTTCTGGTATGGATGCCTTGCCAATATTTCTTGTTGCCGCCATGATCCGCAAGCTGGTCTAAAATTCCAGCGTTGTTGGTCGAGACTGCGGATGCGGGGGTGAGCGTGTTGGAACTGCTTCCACTACAATTCCCGTGCTGTTTGAGATCCTCTTCCAGTTCCTTGACGCGTTGTCGCAACCGTTCGATTTCTCTGCATAAGAAATTAGTCCCCTTTTTTGTTCTCTTTCAGTATAATAAAACCGGGGGAGGAGAAGACCCAACCTGACGGCATGGGATAGCGAGCGCACTTCGCTCGAGCGCGTTCTACTGCACTCCCCGCCCCTGCTCTGGCAGCTGTTGCACGGGGAGTTTGTATCACACTTGACGCGATGTACACGGCACCAATCACAGGCTCGGGCGACCTGACTGCGTTTAGGGCGCGCGGGTGTTGATTCTGGAGTAAGAGATAGTGCAGGTTGTGCCTCATCCCGGGCTGAACGAGGAGTGCTGGCAAAGGTCGTGAACATGATCCTTATACTAAAGATCAACAGCCCCTTGGCCAACTGGGACTCCTTCCATATATATTTATATATGTACGGAGTATTATGCGTTGTGTGATAGTGTGAGTTCGCGGGAGAGAAGCCTCGTCTTTTATCTCAGACACGGCGGCGTGCTGGGGTCAGCTTACAGGTTGATGGCCGACACAGCGAAGGGGAAAATCCTTTGGCCTGACGTCCCAGAGGCTTATAGGTGTTTGGAGTCAAAGAGCCATTAAACCCAGTAATACCGCAGGTTAACTAAACTCGGCCAATCAGGCGGCGTCTGTAATATAGTTAGAGTTAACGCTATTGGGTGGATCCCGCTGCCGTTAAACTTTGTTACTAATCTGAGCTAATATCAGCTGAGGATCGTTCGCTTACGGCCCACAACCGTGATCGTGATGATGGCAAGGTACAGTACAAGGCCAGAAGTCACCGCAACCAGTATATGCAGCAGGGTATATAGGCGAATTAAATAATTAATAACTTAGTAACTAGATACTTAATCATAATAAATTACTATTAATTTTATCTAAAGTACGTTATAGCATATTTTATCGCGTAAAGGTACTATATAGTTGGTACTTCTGTTGAGGTACTGGTGAAGTGACTTACGAAATGTGACTGTACATACATAGTATAGTAGTGAAACCTTTGATGAGGTGGCGTGTGGGCCCTGCGTGAGCACTAACCAGGGATCCAGCAGGCAATCCAATTGCCAGTCCAATGGGATTCCAATGTGTTCGCTAGCATGGTAGCCTAGCGTGTCATTTACGTGATGAATATGCAAAGCGTATTCGAAGCGTACTCCATAGGAGGTGTAGCATTGAGCAAACGGACGAGTGCTTCGTATTGAGCAGTATGATAAAACTGTGACTGGTTTGATTGTGATTGATCCGGTGGTAATACACGTCCTTATATACCTGAGTATCCTTCGTGGGCGAGCCTTTTTAGCTAATAATTACCTCTAGCAAGCCGGGCGAGCCTTTTGGCTGACCACCAACGTAGCCAAATGGTATACCGGCGACTTCCTGGTAGTGTGTCAAATACCAATACCCATGGGCTATTATAGCGACTTGGAGAAGCAAACAATGATAATAACAATTATATTGATTTATAATACAATGGTCGGCCAAAATTGTCGACACATCTCCTTGCTATCAAAAATTCCCAACCGTCAAAGCTTAGCATGCTCGCGAAATATCGCATGCTATTTTTTCGGCAAACGCATCTAGACGAGACTGTTAGAAAAGGCGTTCCAGGTCTGTTGGGGGTGGGAATACTTACACACTGTAGCCATGGGATGACCGGGTGGCAAGATCGGGAATGCAGACGCGTCCACAACTCTCAAGCCTTGCACGCCAATTACTCTCGAATGGCTATCAACAACCGCGTTCTTGTCATTACGGCGACCCATAGAGCATGTGCAGGCAGCATGGTAGATGGTTTGGAAACTCCTTCGTATGATGTCTTCGATCTGGGCGTCGGTTTGTATGTGCATGCCTGGAAAGGCCTCTTCACCGATCACAAAGGGCTTCATTGCTTCCGACTGCCAGAAAGCTCTTACACGCTTGAACCCAGCAATTGCTACCTCAATATCCGCACGATGTGTTAGAAAATTGGGGTTGATTAACGGATGTACCCCAGCGTCTGGGGATTGGATTGTCAAATTTCCCCGTGAAAGCGGTGTGCAGAGCGCAACGGCAAGCGAAGCATAATTGTACCCATCATTCGGATCACCCTTGGTGGAGTCATTCATATACCCCAAGTAAGCACCCAGAGATATATACTCCAGCTCAGGCCAATCGTCGGGGAAGGACGCCAGGTCTTTAAGCGTACTGTTGGAAAGAGTGGAGCGTAAGGGCCCGGGAACCTTCTCCCACGCGATGGCATCTGTCGTAGGATTGGTGTACATGCCAGCTGCCCTTTCGTTGAAGTCTCTGGCTGCCTGGGCCGCGAAGGCGGCATTGTTGAAGGACGAAAATGTCGGCGCGTTGACTCTATATGAAGGGCCAAAGTAGATATGATCCTGCATATTCTGCCCAACCCCGGGCCTATCTGCAATCACCGGGATGCCGTACTTTTGCAGAGTTTCAGCGGGCCCAATGCCAGACACCATCAGGAGCTGCGGCGAGCCAAACACCCCAGCCGACAAGATGACCTCTTTTGTCGCTGACAGGACATATTCCAGCCCCTGGGTGTCCACTATCACGCCAGTGGCCTTCCTGTCGCCATCAAATATAATTCTTTTCGCCATAGTGGATTGATAGACCATGTAGTTTGGATAAGCTAGCCCGCGACGGAGAAAGGATGTTTCCGAGGAGTCTCTTGTCATTGTTGTTGCGTTTATTGTAAACATGCTGTATGACTGTCCCAACAGGGAGCCGCTTTGGAACCCTTTTATAATCGGTATGCCCATTGCCGTAAATCCTTTCGTTGCCCAGGTACCGAATGCTTGAACGTAATTGGAGAATGTCAGCGACAAAGGACCAGAGCTATCTCCAAGGACAGTCGGGTCGTATTCGGGTGTTCCATTTTTGAATCTCAGGTCCATATTAGGCGGCGTGAATTTCAAACTTTTCTCGAACGATGGCAGGAATCGATCAAAGGTATAACTTGCATCACCAACGAGACGCGCCCAGGTCGCGTAAGACGACTTCGTGCCTCGCTGATAGGCCATATAGTTTCTTGCTGAACTTCCACCAAGGCATTTTCCACGGGGGTAATGTATTTCCTCGCCGTGCGCTCCCTGTAAATGAATATTAGCGTGGGTAAAGTAGTTTATGACCGAAATGTCCGATTCAGGGGCTTACAGCTTGAGGAGTCGTTATATAGCCCCAGTCCACCAAAGGCTGCCAGTCGTCCTTGGCTTTGCCCGCATACATTCCATCGGTAGCCGGTACCTCACTGATGTTGCCATTGCCAATCTCGTAAAAACTACCGGCTTCGATGACAGCAACTCTTCCTGTCTGTTGCTCGGCAAGTCTCGTTGCTAGTGTAAGGCCAGCATTGCCTCCACCCACAATGACATACGCAAAGGTTTGGTTTCTTCCAGGAACACCGAATGATGATCCAAGAAGCTGTCGTGCGTGGATATGCGAAACGGAGGGTGCTGCTTGCACACAAGCAGTGATCACCCCCAGAATTCCCAGAATCTTCATGTTTTGTCAAGCACACCAAAAAGAGGAGATCAGAAAACGTTGAGCTAAACAAATTCTTGAGAGTGTAGTCTCTGGATATCTTCACTCGAAAGGATGATATTCCGTAGGGACATTGCACCGTTATATACCCCTTTTTTTCGAGTGATGGCATGGTACGGTGACAAAAATATCATATCACAGCCTCCGGGAGGATCGGCCACAAAACGGACTCCGAAGAATGGCGTCCCAAGTTTCCTGGAACAGTCCGGAGACTTAGCCTCTGGAGTTGCGGAAGTTCGTGTCAAAATCATGGGAATACTCCTTGTAGTACTTCACTGAAGTTGACCGTCAGCCTTGTGGCGTTAACCTGGTAAGAACTACTCCATAATAGCATATTCGCTGAGCAAAGCAGTTCTAAAAGGGGCTTTTCGTACTCGTATATATGGGAGCTAGCCTACGCACTGCTCCTCAAAGCCATGTTTCTCATGATTACTTAGTAATTCATGAAAGAGCAAGAAGGATATAGTCTATCATGATAGATATAAAGCCTCGAATCCAAGGAAATGCATGATATTGAATGTCACCGTAAGGATGGACGCCGCCTTGTATATAGATTAAAGATTGAGGTCGGCGCCATGTGGCAACCCTGAGCCGTCCTTCGACCCAAGACGCAGTTAATGTTCGCTTTTTCCAAGAACTCGTGGAGGCCACGAGGCAGCTCCGGGATTTCCGCTACCAAGAGGAGTAACCGGAGCTTTTGACCCAAGCAATGGCTATCGACATGGATAGGTTTATTTTTATCCGCCAGCCAGCGTTGCAGGTAGTAGTTATATAAGTAAGTTAACAGAGATAGAGAGAGCGAGGCAGAAAAAGGAGAACGAGGCGATCGTAACGAGATTGTTGACTGATATCAAGATGAAATCTCTGCTTGGTCCATAAGAAGTATAATAGAAACTTATTATTATGCCAAATATAAGCGAGAGCAGCGAATGATGATTGATTGGATGAGTTTGAATATATAACTATATTGGTAAGCTTAAAGAGCTTAGAATAGAGTAGTTATAAATCTCTACTAAATATAAGAAAAGTAGTATAATTTAACTATATAATTAACTAAATATAATATTTAAAATTAAATTTATTCAACCAATTATTATTCGCTGCTCTCGATCATATTTAACAATATAATAATAATAATTAATTTGAAGGGTAAAATATAGACTAACCCAGTACGAACTCCACGTTGGAAAATACAACACAATATTTTTATCGTTTTTTTCGAGGTAAGACGTTGAAAGTTAAAATGGAAGAAAAAGTAGAGACTAACAAGAAACAGACCAGCTGTAATGACGGAAAGGTGGAAATATAGGAAACTGTGAACAGGTGCCTTCACTTCAACCCATCCCTCCCAAAGGAAGGCCCCCAAGGCCAAGTCGGTTAAAAGTCCTCTGCTGGTGAGAAGTCTATTGTCAATAGGCCCTGCTTTACGCCACCTATCAAAAAATCTAGAAACCCATCCTTCACCCCGGTGGTAGTTCTGCGGCGCCCCTGTAGATAGTTCAATTCCGAAGTGCATCCTTCATCCTTGGTCCCAAAAATGCTGATAGCACTCATACAAATAGCATCATAGGCCTCCTTCGCCTTGTTGATTGTAGCAAAAGCTGCACGAGCCTGAGGAAAAATACTCATTGTAACTGCTAATACAACGTCCTTGTGGCCGTATAAGGTCTGCACCTCCTTAGTATAGGCGTTTTTCAGTACATCCCCATATAGAGCTGGAGCGTTTTTGACAAGATCTCCAACTAAGTGGTCACATATATTTCTGGCGTTAGCACGGAAATCGGCTGCCTGTTGGAAGTTTTTCGGGAGATCTCGTTCGTTACAGTCGTTCAAAAAAGTAACAGCAGTACCGAATACATCTATAACTGGGTTGCGGCTGTTATCGTCGCTGCGGGCGTGGAGTTGATTAAGTCTGGTAGCATGGCAATGTTGGATATCCCCATGGCTCACCGATTTGTCGTAGGGGAATAAAGGGTATTTCTTCTTCATGCACTCCACGAACGTGGATTCACTCCAGTTTTCAGCTTGGCCTTGAGAGTTATCACGGAGCCCCAAACGGTCGTACTGGGACTTAAGATAGCTAGTAACTCCATATATATCGATTCCGCGGGTGGTTAGACCGTTGTTATTATCGTCTATGATCTCGGGGACATCACCACAGTGGATTAAGTACATGTGGTCCGTAACCAATTCATTGGGGTATCCAGGATATTTCTCCTTCATGCATGCCACAAACTTGGAGTCGTTCGTTTCGGGTTGGGACTCGGAGCTGCTGCGGACTGCGAGCTCGACTCCATCGATTGGAGTGGCATGGGCGGTTGCCAAAATGAATTAAGACAAATAAACCTGCTTGAATCATGATTGAACAAGAAAACTTAGGATAGAACATGTTTCGATCTTCGTTATCTTTAGTGGAAGGCTTTGGATCTTGGGTTGTGGAACGTTGAGTATCTGGTATGTGAATAGTCTGAGAAGTGATCTCTGTATTTGGGTATCATAGTTATGATCTTGAGAGGGTTTATATAGGTAACTTAGGTATGCGGCATATCGCTTTCTAGCTCGCCTGCCACAGCAATATTTCAACTCTGATTATTTACGATTTGTCATCCAACGGAATATGTTGATGGAATCACGGTAGAATTGTGGTATCCTTAACTAAACAGATGCATTGTAATCGACCGGATGACGAAGGTGACCGCGTTTATAGTATTTGGCGGTCATACAGCGTATTTGTTTGACAATAATTAGTGAATTTGAATAGCAATTGCTTAGATGCCTGGTTGCATCAAGCATAAGGGGGATATTACAAACAATCTTGCAAGAAAGTGTTGTAGTAGATTATATGGCACGGTGAAGCTAAGAGCCGTTGGCACACTTGACATTGAGGAGTGTTGGTATGTCAACTTATGTTGGATAGTTGGATAGTGTTTGAGGGTACGGCTCGCATCCAAGATATCCAATGGTCCCCATTGGACATTAAGCCCCTTGTGGTCTAGCGATTCTGAGAATTTACCGCACAGTTAGAGATTCTCGGCTCTACACCACCACCGTTGTCGTCACCGTCGCCACCATTATCACCAACGTTTAGCAACCAGCAGCCTTCTGCCTGCGCTCCTACTTGAGATAACGCCTAAATTGTAAGCCTGGAGTTCTTAGTCACGGACGGGATGTTCCCTGTGCCCCGCAGTCAAATGAAACCAGCCGCGCGGGGGTTTTTTGTTGGTTCAATTGATCGATCAATCACCGATCTAAGCTCATGTCTGCCTCATTGGGGGCGATATCCAACTCATTATCTGGCGCCTGCATGTTGTATGCGGAGGCATAGGTGGTTACCAGGCAAGCAACAACTCAGGAGTTGGCGTGGTCGAATTTATATCTTGGCTGCGGCAGCAACGGGATATCGAGCAGTTCCCATTGGATCCTAAATCTCCGTGTGCCTTTGATCTAACCGTGTTGAGAGTTAGTTCGTTATCTGATTACATAAATGCCTGCTTTAGTTTAGTGCTGGATTAGTCATCCATTTGATTATGGCCCAAGGTCCCGACATTTAACGTCATCGAAACAACACAAACGCAGCAGAAGAGACACATATTTAGCGGCAGGAAATAGCTACAACGCATCGGAGCTGTTCGTCCGTTTGCTTATTCGTTTCTATCCGAACGGCAGCTATTACTCTGTATACATAGTTGGAAACAGAACAGGCTCTGAAACAGAGCCTCCAAGCCGCAGCCTCGATATAATCATCTAACCAAGTAATAAGGAACCCCCAACAGGCATACGATCGGGTGCCAAACCAAACATTGAGCGAGTTACAATGGAAATACGCAAACATATGATGATTATTCAGATGGGGGCCTCATTAATACCGGATTCGATCTAGCTGAAGATGGACAGCGGAAGCCCGTTTTCACAACGGAGTTAGGTTACTAATTGAAGAGCAGGACGCGATGGATTACCAAATATTTTGTATACCCAGGCATGATTACGGACCATCGATTGCTGCTGGGGTCAGTGATGTCAGCGATATTGAGCAGTTTACCGTCAAAAGAGACACGTGTCTGAGCTCGCCTATGGCAAAAGGAGTTGGGATATCTAACTCCCTTGAAGTGCAAGATACTTACAGAATTCGAGGGGAGGATAGCCTCAATGACCTGAAACGATCCCCCTCCATAACCAAGGCATTTAACTTGACTAACCTTAGCGCATAGACAGCATAGTGTTGGAAATCACCTCAATGTTATTCATACCCCCACAGCTTAGGACTAACGGCTAACAAGCCGTGTGTACGTGGACTTATTCTCTGTGCTGTACGAGTCTGAGTGATAGTGCATTTCCCTTTGGCATAGCCTAAGTCCTAGCAAATGGGTCTGGTAGTCATAGTCTACTAGTAGGATACCTGATCTATAAAGGAAGAGGCAAGGCACCTACCCCGTCTTATCCTTTACCAGACGCTCCCCACAGATATTCCTACAACGCTTAGTTCATACAGCCTTCTACAATTTCTGCTTCTTCTATCTTCTCGTTACAAGATGATGTTCTCCGGCAGCAAGCTACTTGCCGTGGCCTTGACTCTGGCCAGTTGCATTACAGCATCCCCAACCCTTAACCACAAGCGGACTAACGACGAGTCTGTTACTATAGGCTACAGAACTGTGAGCGAAGTATGTTGCCTTTATAGTTGCCTAAGATACCATGTTCAAAGAACAGTGCTTACTTCAAATATCTAGGAACAAGCTGCTATTTATAACGAGCATGGAACTATTGTTTATAAAGGAATACTGCTGGAGTCCAGCTTGGTGCTGGTGTTTACCTTACCGACCTCCATGCAAGCTGAAGAAGACTCTATATGGTCGTGGTCCGTTACCTTTACAAATTCCCCATTACTTAGCTCCGATTCTTATACATTTTTTAGGTTTTGCATCGTTACTGCTGACCGCGCCGCCATGGAACGGGTCTCCAAAGTCTGGGTACCTGAGAAGTACCATGGCGAGGACCTATGGCTGGGACCTATTGATCCTAAAATACGCGAGGAAACACTACGCAAGTACGATGAAAAAATGAGCCGGTATATCAAGGGCCTGAGAAATGACTATACCCCTGAAGCGACCCTACGATTTGGTCGCCTCGTCGGATGGGAACCCCAAGACCAAATGCTGATCCCCCCTTTCCTGGCCTCGCCGGAAGGTGGTCTGAATCTGAGAGTCCATTGTGCAGAGAGGTCCGATCTAATTGAGGAATACATGCTCTCCTATATCCGTGATGATATCTTCCGGAAAAATTGCCAAGGACATCGGGACTAAAAGAAGCTCTGTACCCCTATGTACACCCAGGCTTGTACAGACTTGGCCGACTTGTTACCATAAGAGCAGATACATTACCAAGGGATCATCTCCCCCCTCTCTATTACTCCCGTTATTTGTGATCCATTATTCCCCATGTTCACTCACTATTTCTGCCTATTTTGTTTCTTGATTTCTCTCTGTTGCGATAACGAAAAGAAGTAAAATAAAGATAGCTGCTTTTTGAAAACATGATATGAACCTTGTTATTGTTATATGCCATTAGTCACGAATAGCTGTACCCCTCATCTAACAATTAGGTACATTAAATGTTATGTATTCCTCTATATATTTATTATAAAGGGTAGCTGTTCCTTAGTCCCTCCCCCAAACCAACATTCTCAGCTGGCACCTTGGGCTAAGAGACTCTAAGGGAGGACAACATGGCCGAGACCTTACGTTCTATCCTTTGCGGCAGGATGTGGAATGTAGACTCGCACGACGGTATTTGGATTGAATTTAAGGATGATGGCACAGGCGAGGTAAGAAACTCGGGCCTTGTGTAAGACAGTGCTAACATATCGCAGATGGCATACTATGGGGAGCTAAATGTATTCATCGCGGCTGAGATCGAATGGGGTGCCATAGACCCTACGGCCCTTGATCAAGTTATCCATAGGGGTGAAGAGAAAGAGACACGTCTCTTGGCCGAGTTCGATATCAACCTGACCCTTACAAAGCGTCGCCTTACTTCAATAGGACCGTATTATACGGATGGGGCTACGATAAACGGCGGCCGTCTTGAAGATAACGCATTTATACTAAGGACCTTCCACGTTCGACTAGAAAAAGGGAGTTTTATCCCTATTACCAATATATGCGATGGCAAGGTATATCAATTTACTAAGAGGTATGCACTTCGCCTGGCCTTTGACAAGACCCCGTTCCCTCCAAGCGCAGTATGGAAACGTGGCTGGCAACCTTGGACCAGAGATCCGGGCATCGATGATTGGACGGCTCTCTATGTGGAACCGATAGAACTGGTAACCGACATGGAGATATGGAATTGGTATAAAGATTCATACGAGGCCAAGCGCCAAAAAGCAGAAAGGTTGGAGAGGGTAAATGGAACAGACAACCCTACCGATTCAGCCAAATCAGATTGAATTATGTGATTAGCCCAACGCACTAGAAGAAGGATATATGTTTATAACTATCGACTCATCCTCTGGGGCATGTTTGCGGTGTTCGTGGACTGGGCTGCTGGGAGGAGCGTGGATAAACGACGACAGGGGGCCGTCGGCGATTTGATGGATGAGCTTGAGCTTTGAATATAGTGGGCAAGAGAGGATTTAGGGGGTGGATTGAACTATGGTAATGATTGTATCTAAGTATTTCGAATCAATCTTGTTGAATAGTTGCCTCTGCCTCAGGATTCGGGTGGCATTCTGCTCTCTTTTATGTTGCAGAGGACGGAATTATCTATCTTTAGATCACATCAACTTCTCCTCGCTCGCATGGGTATTGATACAGCTATAGCCATCCCCGGCCGAGCTATCTTCTGTTAGAGCAAATCGTTATACATTGCCCAATGGCTAGAGTGCGCGGATAATGGTTGAGTTATAGGTAGATATAGTGCTCTATTTAATTAATACCCGCTAGTCAACACCCTGG